TACAAAACGAGCAATGTCATTCTTCATTCCTGGCCACCAGAAAGAACTCCGGAGATCTTGATACATCTTAGTCATACCCGGATGTATACTAAGATGGCTATGATGCCCTTCCTCCAAGATAATCCTCTTCAGGTCTCCATCATTTGGGATGCACGTCCGGCCCTTATAGCGTAAGAAACCGTCCGTTCCAGTGTTAAACTCCATGGCCTGATCCGTACCGAGTGCGTCTAATATCTTCACTAACTCTTCATCCTCTCGTTGCTTCTTTCTGATCCGCTCGAACACGTCGCTGGATATTCTAAGGTTACAACACTTGATACTGTTCGACTCCAACTCGAATTGTAACCTTAGGTCTCTAAAGCTTTCAACCAGGCTGAGTTCTTTCACCATCATAACCGAGACGTGAACTGCTTTCCTGCTTAGGGCGTCCGCCACTACATTAGCTTTTCCCGGATGATACAGCAGTTCAAAGTCGTAATCCTTTAAGAACTCCAGCCAACGCCTCTGCCTCATGTTCAACTCCTTCTGATCAAATAAGTATTTGAGGCTCTTGTGATCGCTGAAGACTTGGAACGTGGATCCGTACAAGAAATGCCTCCAAATCTTCAGCGCAAAAACAACCGCTGCCAACTCCAGGTCGTGTGTTGGATAATTCCTCTCGTGAGTCTTCAACTGACGGGATGCGTACGCTACCGCTCGCTTTTCTTGCATCAGTACACAACCCAAACCTTGGTGGGACGCATCACAATACACTTCAAAAGGTTTGGCCGTGTCAGGAATGATCAGAACTAGGGCGCTCGCCAATTTCAATTTCAATTCTTGGAAGCTGGCTTCACAACGATCGATCCAAGCGAACAGCTGATCTTTACGAGTCAACTGAGTTAGCGGCGCTACTATCTTAGCAAAACCTTCAATGAAACGTCTGTAGTAGCCCGCCAGACCAACAAAGCTACGCACCTCAGTGACCGAACGCGGACTCTCCCATTCCAGTACCGCTCGAACTTTCGCTGGATCTACCGAGATGCCTCCAGCCGACACCACATGCCCCAAGAACTGAATTTCCTTCATCCAGAATTCACATTTAGATAACTTGGCGTACAACTCCTTCTCCCTCAGTACACCAAGTACAATCCTCAAGTGCTCTTCATGTTCGTCTTGGGTCTTGGAGTAGATGAGAATATCATCTATGAAAACGACTACAAACTTATCCAAATAAGGCCTGAAGATGCGATTCATATACTCCATGAACACTGCTGGAGCGTTCGTTACTCCAAATGGCATCACCATGTATTCATAATGCCCATACCGAGACCTGAACGCTGTCTTCTGGATGTCATCCTCCTTAACTCTGATTTGATGATATCCGGATCTCAAATCAATTTTTGAGAATACTGCAGCCCCATGCAGTTGATCCAACAAGTCATCTATCCTTGGCAATGGGTATTTGTTCTTGATGGTCAGCTTGTTTAACTGCCTGTAGTCTATACACAACCGCGAGTTGCCATCCTTCTTCCTTATTAACAGTACGGGCGCTCCCCAGGGTGATACGCTCGGCCTAATGAACTGTTTCTCCATCAACTCTTCAATCTACTCCTTGAGTTCAGCTAACTCCGCAGGAGACATCCGATAAGGCTGAACCGAGATAGGAGCTGTCCTCGTCACCAAATCAATGGTGAATTCAACTTCACGGTGAGGGGGAAGTCCAGGTATTTCTTCCGGAAAGACGTCAGGAAAATCGTCCACAACCGATCGTCCTTCACTGTACTTGTCCTTGGACGATCGTTCCTCATTCGCATTCCCAACCTCCCTGTCTTCGTCCGTCATGATGAGAAAACAGCTGGCGCCCTCCATAATATCTTCTTTCAACTGACCGAGCGTCACTGACAATTTCTCTTCTTCTTCACCAGGAAAGATTAATTCCTTCGCTCCACAATCTATAATAATGCGATTGGTAGCCAACCAATCCATTCCTAAAATCACTTCTAAATCCTTCAAAGGCAAACCGATTAAATTTACCTTATAACTACGCCCCTCAACCACAATAGGACATCTAATACATACGGTAGACGTCCTAATCTCTCCAGCCGCTGGGGTTGACACCACCAGGTCGAACTGCATATCTCTCTCAACTATTCCTAATTTCTCAACACACGCCTTCGAGATGAAGGAGTCAGTCGCCCCCGAATCAAACAGCACACGACAAGGTATTCCATACAGCAAGCATTCACCGGTTATAAGGTTACCTGAGCTTGCTGCTTCAGCTCCAGTTATAGCATAAACGCGCCTCACTACTTGTGTTCTACCACCTCTCGGTTGGTTCCTTCCAGCATTAGGTGGCCTCGTTACTGCACGTCCACTCACGTTGCACTCGTTATCCGAGTGCCCGTTCCTTCCACAACGATTGCAGTGCTTTCCTCCCACCAGCTGAGGGCACGAAGAACGATAATGTGGCCCTCCACACCGGAAACAAATAACGTTTCCTTGTCCAGACTGTCCGACATGAACTAATGCTTGTGACCCGCTTGCATTAGAGGGTTGGTTTGGACGAGCGTAAGGTGGTCTCCTCTGAACAATACCTCCCCTGGACACGATCGGTCCCCTACTCACTTGTTGTTGTTTCTTCTGTCGTTCCGCCTCTGCCATATTTTTCTCCAATACCTTTGCCCGTTCAACCATAGCAGGAAACGACCGGATGCACAAACTGGAGATTAATACCTTCAAATCACTCCGCAGTCCGTTCTCAAACTTCCTGCACTACCACTCTTCACTGGTGGCCATCGTATTGAAACGGACAAGGTGCTTGAACTTGTTAGTATACTCAGAAACCGACATCCCACCTTGAACCAGTTGTAAAAACTCCACCTCTTTCGCAAACCGGACGCTGTCAGGGAAGTACTCCTCATAAAACTTGCTATGGAATACTTCCCAGGTGATAGGACGTTGAGCGTCTGCCAGAATAGCCCTTGTGCTCGCCCACGAGTGGCTTGCTTCCCCAGTCAACAAATACTCCGTGAACGCCAAACGGTTCTCATCTGGACACCTCTTGGCGTTGAAGATCCTTTCCATGTCCCTTAACCACTGATCCGCCTCGTCAAGGAGGCCCTTCCCACTGAACTTAGCCGGATGGTGTTGGAGGAAACTCTCCAAGCTCCACTCAGCAGCAGACTGGGCAACGTTGGAAGAGGACGCCCCCGGAGTGTGCCTGGTTTCTGCTAGAATTTCCATTAACTGCCTTTGGGTCGTTTCAGAGTTGGCACGAGAGGCCTCCAAACTCTGCATAGCGTTCTGGTTTTGCTGCATCAGAGTGGCGTTCTGCTCCATTAACGTGGTATTCTGTTGCTGCAGTCTATCAATTACTGTCTCCAACAACCTAGTGTTGTTGGACGTATCAGGCTCATTAGGTTGCGGTGGAGGAGGGAGTCTAGGTGCCATTTGTTCTCTGGACACAGAGAAAAACTAGCGTTAGTCATGTTTCAAAGAGTTAAATAAAATAACTCATTTAAACACATATTAAGCACACAGCAAAAACACAGTGTACTCATAACCTACAGTGTCCTTTAATACAACAAAACTGCTCTGATACCACTAATGTAACATCCCAAAATACAGTAACAACCATAATCAGAATTAATTACATTCAACAGTAAAACAGTGCAGTCTTTACATAAAGATACGGGGTTCAAAAAGTCGAACGGCTTAAAGTACAAAATTACATACAAATACAGCAGTAACAGGAGTTTAGGGACGAACGGTTTACAAAACTTTAATCGAACGTTCCAAGTAAGACTAAAAGACTAACAAAATGAAAACCTAGCGAGCGCTCTAAGGCTCGACTTTAACTTCTACTTCAACCAGATTAGCGTCTTCCAAATTTTCTTCTTCTAGCATTTCTTCAAGTGACGCACCTCCATCTGCTCACATCCACACGGATGATCATTGCAATGACAGGACGAACGTACAAATACGATAGACAACACAAGGAAAACGAAAGGGTAAGCTTATGTAATTTAATTTATACATCTACATATACAATAAGCATTTCAATCCACACAAGCACATAATTTAACATATAACATCATCCAAAATATATATATATACACTAGACCGACCGTCCGGACTGTATGAATCTGTGTAGTTACAAGCGTCCTTGCACCCGAGTGATGTAGTAACCGGGATACACTCAACAACTGCCACTCGAGGTTAGTCCGTTCTTACGTCGCCCATGTTAACTTATGGACTAAGGACCTCCTGCCGTTCCCACACATGACATACCCCCTCTACATGAAGATGAGTACTCACGGAACATCAGGATGGACAGGAAGTCTTAACTTATCCACAGTCATACTTTACCAAATTTAATATTCAATATATGTAAGAGTCGTTCCTCCCTGGAACGCTCGTTCAAATTCCATAATCGTATAATCATTCGATATAGTGTTCACACTTCAACATCTTATAATTTATCATCATCTTTATCTTCAGTTTTGAAAGTATAAAATAACGAACGTTCAGACTTCTGAAGAACGAAGACGAACGCTAAAGACTGGATTTAGCAGAGTCGTTGCCAAACAGAATAAGTTGACACATACTTATATGACGAACGTCACTGCTACTCGAATCAGTTGAATGAACTAACTCTTAGAGATATAAAATCAATGTTCAGAATAATTTAGGTACAAAGACTCTAGGCCGAATCCAAATGAATACAGACACAACAAGACAAATAATTAATTATACTGAGAACAATTTGTTTAAAAGGGATCGACTGCCAGTCAAATGACCAAACGCGATAATATACATTTACTAATAATTTGGACGGACGCTATTTACGCCCCTTTAGAAATCAAGGTAAGGACGAGCGTTCAGTATAAGACCGAACACTNCTGCCTGTAGTCTATACACAACCGCGAGTTGCCATCCTTCTTCCTTATTAACAGTACGGGCGCTCCCCAGGGTGATACGCTCGGCCTAATGAACTGTTTCTCCATCAACTCTTCAATCTACTCCTTGAGTTCAGCTAACTCCGCAGGAGACATCCGATAAGGCTGAACCGAGATAGGAGCTGTCCTCGTCACCAAATCAATGGTGAATTCAACTTCACGGTGAGGGGGAAGTCCAGGTATTTCTTCCGGAAAGACGTCAGGAAAATCGTCCACAACCGATCGTCCTTCACTGTACTTGTCCTTGGACGATCGTTCCTCATTCGCATTCCCAAACTCCATGTCTTCGTCCGTCATGATGAGAAAACAGCTGGCGCCCTCCATAATATCTTCTTTCAACTGACCGAGCGTCACTGACAATTTCTCTTCTTCTTCACCAGGAAAGATTAATTCCTTCGCTCCACAATCTATAATAATGCGATTGGTAGCCAACCAATCCATTCCTAAAATCACTTCTAAATCCTTCAAAGGCAAACCGATTAAATTTACCTTATAACTACGCCCCTCAACCACAATAGGACATCTAATACATACGGTAGACGTCCTAATCTCTCCAGCCGCTGGGGTTGACACCACCAGGTCGAACTGCATATCTCTCTCAACTATTCCTAATTTCTCAACACACGCCTTCGAGATGAAGGAGTCAGTCGCCCCCGAATCAAACAGCACACGACAAGGTATTCCATACAGCAAGCATTCACCGGTTATAAGGTTACCTGAGCTTGCTGCTTCAGCTCCAGTTATAGCATAAACGCGCCTCACTACTTGTGTTCTACCACCTCTCGGTTGGTTCCTTCCAGCATTAGGTGGCCTCGTTACTGCACGTCCACTCACGTTGCACTCGTTATCCGAGTGCCCGTTCCTTCCACAACGATTGCAGTGCTTTCCTCCCACCAGCTGAGGGCACGAAGAACGATAATGTGGCCCTCCACACCGGAAACAAATAACGTTTCCTTGTCCAGACTGTCCGACATGAACTAATGCTTGTGACCCGCTTGCATTAGAGGGTTGGTTTGGACGAGCGTAAGGTGGTCTCCTCTGAACAATACCTCCCCTGGACACGATCGGTCCCCTACTCACTTGTTGTTGTTTCTTCTGTCGTTCCGCCTCTGCCATATTTTTCTCCAATACCTTTGCCCGTTCAACCATAGCAGGAAACGACCGGATGCACAAACTGGAGATTAATACCTTCAAATCACTCCGCAGTCCGTTCTCAAACTTCCTGCACTACCACTCTTCACTGGTGGCCATCGTATTGAAACGGACAAGGTGCTTGAACTTGTTAGTATACTCAGAAACCGACATCCCACCTTGAACCAGTTGTAAAAACTCCACCTCTTTCGCAAACCGGACGCTGTCAGGGAAGTACTCCTCATAAAACTTGCTATGGAATACTTCCCAGGTGATAGGACGTTGAGCGTCTGCCAGAATAGCCCTTATGCTCGCCCACGAGTGGCTTGCTTCCCCAGTCAACAAATACTCCGTGAACGCCAAACGGTTCTCATCTGGACACCTCTTGGCGTTGAAGATCCTTTCCATGTCCCTTAACCACTGATCCGCCTCGTCAAGGAGGCCCTTCCCACTGAACTTAGCCGGATGGTGTTGGAGGAAACTCTCCAAGCTCCACTCAGCAGCAGACTGGGCAACGTTGGAAGAGGACGCCCCCGGAGTGTGCCTGGTTTCTGCTAGAATTTCCATTAACTGCCTTTGGGTCGTTTCAGAGTTGGCACGAGAGGCCTCCAAACTCTGCATAGCGTTCTGGTTTTGCTGCATCAGAGTGGCGTTCTGCTCCATTAACGTGGTATTCTGTTGCTGCAGTCTATCAATTACTGTCTCCAACAACCTAGTGTTGTTGGACGTATCAGGCTCATTAGGTTGCGGTGGAGGAGGGAGTCTAGGTGCCATTTGTTCTCTGGACACAGAGAAAAACTAGCGTTAGTCATGTTTCAAAGAGTTAAATAAAATAACTCATTTAAACACATATTAAGCACACAGCAAAAACACAGTGTACTCATAACCTACAGTGTCCTTTAATACAACAAAACTGCTCTGATACCACTAATGTAACATCCCAAAATACAGTAACAACCATAATCAGAATTAATTACATTCAACAGTAAAACAGTGCAGTCTTTACATAAAGATACGGGGTTCAAAAAGTCGAACGGCTTAAAGTACAAAATTACATACAAATACAGCAGTAACAGGAGTTTAGGGACGAACGGTTTACAAAACTTTAATCGAACGTTCCAAGTAAGACTAAAAGACTAACAAAATGAAAACCTAGCGAGCGCTCTAAGGCTCGACTTTAACTTCTACTTCAACCAGATTAGCGTCTTCCAAATTTTCTTCTTCTAGCATTTCTTCAAGTGACGCACCTCCATCTGCTCACATCCACACGGATGATCATTGCAATGACAGGACGAACGTACAAATACGATAGACAACACAAGGAAAACGAAAGGGTAAGCTTATGTAATTTAATTTATACATCTACATATACAATAAGCATTTCAATCCACACAAGCACATAATTTAACATATAACATCATCCAAAATATATATATATACACTAGACCGACCGTCCGGACTGTATGAATCTGTGTAGTTACAAGCGTCCTTGCACCCGAGTGATGTAGTAACCGGGATACACTCAACAACTGCCACTCGAGGTTAGTCCGTTCTTACGTCGCCCATGTTAACTTATGGACTAAGGACCTCCTGCCGTTCCCACACATGACATACCCCCTCTACATGAAGATGAGTACTCACGGAACATCAGGATGGACAGGAAGTCTTAACTTATCCACAGTCATACTTTACCAAATTTAATATTCAATATATGTAAGAGTCGTTCCTCCCTGGAACGCTCGTTCAAATTCCATAATCGTATAATCATTCGATATAGTGTTCACACTTCAACATCTTATAATTTATCATCATCTTTATCTTCAGTTTTGAAAGTATAAAATAACGAACGTTCAGACTTCTGAAGAACGAAGACGAACGCTAAAGACTGGATTTAGCAGAGTCGTTGCCAAACAGAATAAGTTGACACATACTTATATGACGAACGTCACTGCTACTCGAATCAGTTGAATGAACTAACTCTTAGAGATATAAAATCAATGTTCAGAATAATTTAGGTACAAAGACTCTAGGCCGAATCCAAATGAATACAGACACAACAAGACAAATAATTAATTATACTGAGAACAATTTGTTTAAAAGGGATCGACTGCCAGTCAAATGACCAAACGCGATAATATACATTTACTAATAATTTGGACGGACGCTATTTACGCCCCTTTAGAAATCAAGGTAAGGACGAGCGTTCAGTATAAGACCGAACACTTCTTAGGACGAACGCTAGTTATAAGACCGATAATTAATTTGGACGAACGCTTGGTATAAGACTGAGTACTAAAGAGGACAAACGCTCAGTGTAAGACCGAGCACTACAAATTTGTAAGTATAAGGGATAATACATTATAACTTAATTTAAATTATAAGGTTACCACTAGGCTGAGCCGAACGCTCAACATAGTATTTCACGGGACGCTCGTTCTCGATCAGAACTCTTTCCAAATGAAAGAATTCCTTTCTAAACAATTGATTAGAAACCGAACGGTATAAGACCGTACGATGACGAACGTATTTTATCATAGTAAAGATTTCATATTTACGATTTGCATCTAGTTCAATTATCAAATTTTCACCGTATCAGTTCATACTTTATACTTCATATCAATATCAATTTACAAACTTTATATGATTCACATTAATCATTCATCTTCAAAGGAATAAATCATCTCATATTCATACGTATCAACCATAAACATACATTTTAACCATCATATATTATATTCATTCAGTACAACAACGTTCGTTCATGCATACTCAACCAGCAAACATCTCATACATTCAGTTCATATCATGCTTGCATACGACATACAAGTATCAATTAAATTACTAAGCTTCCCTTACCTGGATAGCAGTGTACGTCTAACAATATAACTTGGACTTGCCCAACTATGGCTTTCTACCCTCCACGATCTTTCTTACGCTCTTCAACTAAGTCTAACCAAAGAAAACTCAGAGAACTCAGTTTATACCCTTGCATGCAACTGAATCTTAGTTTGCATGTAACACGGAAACAAACGTCCAAAGTCGAGTGACTTACCGGTTACAGAACTTGGATCTGTTCGGTTCAGATTGAAGCTCACGGCGCAGGGAACGTTCCTACGGTTCTGAACGTTGAACGGAGAAGAAACGGGTGAGTAACAGTAGAGAGAAGTTGAAGGATTTCTAGAGAGAAGTTGGAGAAGAAGATAGGTCAGAGTCTTGGTGGAGAAGAAGGTGTCTGTAGAGAGTGGGAGAAGTGTTTTCAGAAAAATTAGTTTTCTTCCCAAGGTCAAACGGACGTGCACTCTCATGCGGACACCTGTTTTCCACTACAGATTCAGAAGGTTCCAAAGTGACACTTGGCAGGTGTGAGTCAGAGAATGTGAGTGCGTTTTAATTGCACTGAACGTGTGGCGTGGGTGCATTTATGAAAGCTGACAGGTGACTCAGNAGGTTAGTCCGTTCTTACGTCGCCCATGTTAACTTATGGACTAAGGACCTCCTGCCGTTCCCACACATGACATACCCCCTCTACATGAAGATGAGTACTCACGGAACATCAGGATGGACAGGAAGTCTTAACTTATCCACAGTCATACTTTACCAAATTTAATATTCAATATATGTAAGAGTCGTTCCTCCCTGGAACGCTCGTTCAAATTCCATAATCGTATAATCATTCGATATAGTGTTCACACTTCAACATCTTATAATTTATCATCATCTTTATCTTCAGTTTTGAAAGTATAAAATAACGAACGTTCAGACTTCTGAAGAACGAAGACGAACGCTAAAGACTGGATTTAGCAGAGTCGTTGCCAAACAGAATAAGTTGACACATACTTATATGACGAACGTCACTGCTACTCGAATCAGTTGAATGAACTAACTCTTAGAGATATAAAATCAATGTTCAGAATAATTTAGGTACAAAGACTCTAGGCCGAATCCAAATGAATACAGACACAACAAGACAAATAATTAATTATACTGAGAACAATTTGTTTAAAAGGGATCGACTGCCAGTCAAATGACCAAACGCGATAATATACATTTACTAATAATTTGGACGGACGCTATTTACGCCCCTTTAGAAATCAAGGTAAGGACGAGCGTTCAGTATAAGACCGAACACTTCTTAGGACGAACGCTAGTTATAAGACCGATAATTAATTTGGACGAACGCTTGGTATAAGACTGAGTACTAAAGAGGACAAACGCTCAGTGTAAGACCGAGCACTACAAATTTGTAAGTATAAGGGATAATACATTATAACTTAATTTAAATTATAAGGTTACCACTAGGCTGAGCCGAACGCTCAACATAGTATTTCACGGGACGCTCGTTCTCGATCAGAACTCTTTCCAAATGAAAGAATTCCTTTCTAAACAATTGATTAGAAACCGAACGGTATAAGACCGTACGATGACGAACGTATTTTATCATAGTAAAGATTTCATATTTACGATTTGCATCTAGTTCAATTATCAAATTTTCACCGTATCAGTTCATACTTTATACTTCATATCAATATCAATTTACAAACTTTATATGATTCACATTAATCATTCATCTTCAAAGGAATAAATCATCTCATATTCATACGTATCAACCATAAACATACATTTTAACCATCATATATTATATTCATTCAGTACAACAACGTTCGTTCATGCATACTCAACCAGCAAACATCTCATACATTCAGTTCATATCATGCTTGCATACGACATACAAGTATCAATTAAATTACTAAGCTTCCCTTACCTGGATAGCAGTGTACGTCTAACAATATAACTTGGACTTGCCCAACTATGGCTTTCTACCCTCCACGATCTTTCTTACGCTCTTCAACTAAGTCTAACCAAAGAAAACTCAGAGAACTCAGTTTATACCCTTGCATGCAACTGAATCTTAGTTTGCATGTAACACGGAAACAAACGTCCAAAGTCGAGTGACTTACCGGTTACAGAACTTGGATCTGTTCGGTTCAGATTGAAGCTCACGGCGCAGGGAACGTTCCTACGGTTCTGAACGTTGAACGGAGAAGAAACGGGTGAGTAACAGTAGAGAGAAGTTGAAGGATTTCTAGAGAGAAGTTGGAGAAGAAGATAGGTCAGAGTCTTGGTGGAGAAGAAGGTGTCTGTAGAGAGTGGGAGAAGTGTTTTCAGAAAAATTAGTTTTCTTCCCAAGGTCAAACGGACGTGCACTCTCATGCGGACACCTGTTTTCCACTACAGATTCAGAAGGTTCCAAAGTGACACTTGGCAGGTGTGAGTCAGAGAATGTGAGTGCGTTTTAATTGCACTGAACGTGTGGCGTGGGTGCATTTATGAAAGCTGACAGGTGACTCAGCAGTGCTTTTATGGTGACGTGACATCTTTTAACATGTAATTTCTTTTACACAATTAAATTAAAATAACTATTTATTAATTTTTAAAATTTAAACTATATTAAAATTTAAACTATAAAAAAATTTAATATTATGTTAAAGTTTAAAAATTAAAATAATACTTAATTCAACAATTTACAAAACACAAGTGAAAGTTATATCAATTTATCAGAGAAATCTGAATTGTTTTGTGACGTGGTGTTTCTTTTTGGGCCAAAAATCACTTCAATGTTTTCTCAGTTTTGCATTTTCAAAATAATGTGTGAACTTAGGCCAAAGCTGAAAAGGATAAGATTAGAATAATTATATATTTTAATTAGTAAAATCTTTTAAATTTTGCTTTTTCTAAACTAAAGTTTGACCTATTTATAGAATCAAGCGTAATAACCACCATTGGAATAAATCTTGATGTTCCATGCTTATTTTTCAGCTCTTTTTTTTAGGATTATATGAAAATTTGCATTCTAATTACTTTGTAGTTCAATTCATATGACAATGAATTAAGCTTTTTTTTTTTCATTTTTTAGATACCATTTTGTGTTTATTTTGGATGCTATCATAACCACCACCATGTTTTTTACTTTCTTTTCCCTGCTTGAAATATTACAATTTAGAAAAAAAGTGAGCAGTGAGAGAATTCCTATAAATAAAGCTTCATTTAGAATTTGAATATGTGATGAATACTTTGAAAAAGAATCACAAAAGTTCAATTCACATGTAAGAGATTAAAATATCTTTTCGTTGAAAATCTTAAAACAAGTTTTTATCTTTATATAATATTTAATTTTGTTTATCTTCAAACAAACAATGAAAGACTTAAACTTATATTAGAATGTTGTCATAATTTTTGCGTGTTGAATTTCTCAAGAATGTGCTCATCAAATATGATGTTTTGATATATGAGATTCAATCAATAAACCAAAATCACAATGTAAAAGGAAACAGTGCAAGAATATGTGCTTAAAGATCTGAAATGCTTGGACAATAATATATGTACAATACAAGGGAGATATGGAACTTAAGATTTCCATTTGAAAATTTACACTCATTTTGTTTTGGAAGCACTTATTTATCCTTTCTTGCACAGATGACTTAGTAGTTCAGAAAGAATATGATCTAGTGAAGATCTTCTTCCATGCTTTCAAACTGAGAGAGCAAACCTTGGTTAAAGCTAAAGAGGGTTTGAAATCTTTCGGAGGAAAACGTGATGGTGAAGATGAGGATGATTGTGATTTCTCTAATACAACATTGTCTTCTTGGTTCCAAAACCTTGCATATTTTCTCTTGCTTCTCACGGTTTCTAGCACGTCATATTTGTTGCAAATTCCCCACACAGTCACCTTCTGTTCATAGTAATCCACGTTCACAGAGTATATGCCTGCAATCTCATCAATAATAAAAATCTTTCTCACTTACGTAAATCTTATTTATACAATAAATAAATTTAAGATGTAATGAGCAATTTCATATGAAAAGATAATACGGGATAAATTATTAAGCAAGGTGGTAGTGAACAACACAACATAATTTCTTTTTCAGTCGATAAACTCACAAGGTATATACCAAATTGAAAGAGAATTACATGCAATTCATACAATAAAAGGAAGAAAACAAAGAAGACCATTTGAATGCTTGTTTTTGTCATTATTCAATAGCCAATTTGATAAAAATAAATAAAATCCTCTTAGAGTTTTCTTTGATTAATGGTAGATGTTATCTCCTACCACATACACATGATGTTTCTATCTCAATTAGAACTTTAATTTAGTAGAGACAACAAAAATTCTGCTCATAGCCCACAACCCATTCGACCCAAGACTTTGTAAAGCTTGAAAACCCTATCTACAATTGGTTATATTACTTCTCGCACCTCCACAATTACTAACTCCAGCTCCGTATCAGTAAGAAAAACCGTATGGAGAACTCTTTCCGAAACACATTTCATGTGTTCCAAAAATTCCTTACGGAATGTTCCAAAATATATCGTATATGTTCCAAAAAGTTTATTTAGGATATTCTGCATCGAAAAACCTATTCCAGAATGCATCTCATGTGTTCTTCAAATTTTATTTCGAAAATATCATTTTGAATTTTTTTTTCCAAAATCTAGTTTCAGAAATGTTATTCTGAAAATTTGAAAAAAAAATAAAAATCTGAAAATCACGGATTATTATGAAAATTTGGAGTGTGCAAAGAAATTGCGGGAGTGCAGAAAGTAAAAGCCCTCAAATTTGACTGCATATAGCACAATTTGAAGATTCAGAGAGTTAAACATGACTGAAACAAACGATCAACCATCAATTTTTCAACACATATATTGTTTTGTATAATAAAGAAGTAATTGGTAGAGTGTGCTAGGATAAATTCCATTAGACAAGGTCCTAAAACTCTGAAAAAAATACAAGATAAAAACAGATAATTATTTTAAGAATGGAGTGATTAATAAGTGTTGGTAAGAATGATGGATGCATATAAATGTTTGAAATAAAGCATATATAGCCTATAAGACTAAGAGAAAAAGGATGAATGACCTTTAAGATTGGAGAAGGTTTTCTTTATTTTCTTCTCACATCCATAAGAATACAATGGAACCATCATTTCAACATACTGTGCCTCTACAATGTTATTGTAAGCTGGGACAATTTGCATGTTGGCCATCTTCAATTCACACCATCCAAATTGTTATGTATAATGAATCAATGAGTGTTCAACCCTTATATATGGATCATGCATGAACTTTAACTAAACTCATAATCCATTTATCAGATTCTATTCAAAAGTATCACTTTTTCTTTCTCTTTTTCTTTCTTTTTGTTTTCCTTTACAATTGAGAGCTTGTTACTGTCAATGGGTGCATCATAATTAAGAGGGGTAATTATAAATTAGGGTTTGATTAAGGAAATTGAAATCATGAGGTGTGACATGGATGAGTGCAAAGTCGTGTCAGCAAGGGTGTGTTGGTTAAACAAAAGTAGATGCATTGCATTCAGCTTTTCTTGTTGGAAATTGGAAAATCTTGGAGTTTGGTTCGCACGTGGGATGTTTTCCTTACCAAAGAAGAGAGTAATAGAATTCCAATACTTCCAAATTATTCAATTTTATACTATTCTTTTCAATATTTGTTTAATCAAGGTAGAACGTACTTTCCTTTTTTAACTTCCAACTTTTCATGATTTTTTTCTTTTTAATAAAATCCATTGATTTTATTCATACCCTAAGTTTTATTTTAAAATTAAGGATATAAATTAATTATTTATGTACTTAATTTTTAATTATCTTACGCATTAATCATATCTATCATTGTTTTACCGGTAAATATTTTAGGACTGTATAGAAGTTAAACTCTAAGATTATCAAATTTATTAATAATAATAATTTTAATATCTCCACGGATAATTTTGAATTGATTGACATTAGCATTGTATCAAAATAATTTTTTTAATCATATAATAAATGAAAAAAATATTAAATGGTTTATATTTTGAATATTAAACTCGTCCATTTTAATTTATTATCGATTAAAACAATAAAAAAGAATTATTAATGTAATTTACTCTTCGCACCATGACCCAGGAGTCTTTGTTGGTAATTAGAGACTCTAATCTTAATTTAAAGTATGTGATAATTGTTGGTACCTTCTCAGTTTAAATTATGCATACAGGACACTTAAAGCACAGAACCATGTTAATTAATTCCATGCACATGCAATTGTCGCTTCATTTGTGATGAAGCACACATACACATAAACCAAAACTCTTTTGTTGCAAACATAATAAAGCATTGCTTAATTTTAAATCACAGTACCAGGGTTTACATAATTCAATTTTTTTATTGAATATGTATATTGTTCATGTTATTCTTCAATTAAAGTTAAAAATTCATTTTAATAATTTATATTATTTTTTATGTTGTCCTCTTGTATATATATTCATTTATAATATTCTCGGTATATCTTGTAACATCCCAATATCCCACATTGGATAATTCATAATTTATATATTGTAACATTACATTTACGGTAACATCCCGTAATCTCAC